GGAATTTATAATCAGGAACAAAGTGATGGCAGCCAAATAAATACATCCTTTGTGAAGACAGAACTAAAGGAAGACAAATAACATCCCAAAAATACGTGGGAAGGGGAGTAGGGCCTAATGGGAAGAAGTTATTGGAAGAAATTGATATTAGTAAGTAAATGGTATTGGGGAAACTAAACTGAATTAAAGGCAGATAAATCTCCAAGGCCTGATAAATTTCATCCCAAGGCACTTCACGAAGTAACCCTGAATAATAGCAGATGCCCTAGTGTTACCTTCCAAATTTCTACAGACTTTGAAACAGTTCCTATGGATTGGTGGGAGGCTAATGTAACTCCACTATTTAAAAACGGAGGTAGAGAAAAAACAGTGAGACAATTGTGGGAAAATACTACAGTCCATTACAAAAGATGTAATTAACAGAGCACTTGCAAGATGTGACAGGATCAGACACAGTCAGCGTGAATTTATAACAGGAAAGCCATGCTTGACAGATCTGCTGGAATTTTTTGAGGATGTAACTAATGGAGTGGATAAGGCGGAGCCAGTGGATTTTGGATACTTGGATGTTCAGAAGGCTTTCAATAAGTTCCCACAAAGAGATTAGCACGGAAGATTAAAGCATATGGAATGGAAGGTCACACACTGAAATAGATTGAGAACTGGTTAGCAGATAGGAAACAAAACGTAGGAATAACTGTGTCTTTTTCTGAGTGGCAGACAGTAACAAGTGCAGATCCACAGGGATCAGTGCTAGTACTCCAGCTATGATACCTGATACATATTAATGACTTAGATGAGGAAACTTGGTGCCATCTCTCCAAGTTTGTCGATGATACAATGCAAGAAGGATGCCGAGAAGCTTCAGTGTGATGTGGACAAGCTGAGTGAGTGGGCAGATGCAGTATAATGTGGATAAATGTCAAGTTATCCACTTTGGGAGCAAAACCAGGAAGGTGCATTATTACCTGAATGGCTATAAATCAGAAAAGGGGGAGGTGTAATGACACCTGGGTGTCCTTGTGCACCAGTCACTGAAGGGAAGCAAGCAGGAGCAGCAGGCAATGAAAAAGGCAAATGGTATGCTGCCCTTCACAACAAGAGGATTGGAGTACAGGAGCAGGGATGTCTTGCTACAAGTATACAGGGCCTGGGTGAGATACATCTCAAGTACAGTTTTGGTCTCTCTATCTGAAGAAAGCTGTTCTAGTTATGGAGGGAGTGCAGTAAAGGTTTACCAGACTGGTCTCTGGGATGGTTGCACTAATGTACGGTGAGAAACTGGATCAGTTAGGACAATAAGGTGGATCTCCTAGAAACCTGTAATATTCTAGCAGGGTAGATGCAGGAAGGATGTTCTTAATGACTGGGGAGTCCAGAACCGGGGGTCACATTTAAAGTACGGAATAGTCCGTTCAGTAGAGAGATGGGGAGAAATGTCTTCACCCAGAGAGTTGGTGAGCCTGTAGAATTCTCTGCCACAGAAACAGTTAAGTCCAAAATGTTGAATGTTTTCAAGAAGGAGTTAGATATATTTATTTGGCGAAAGGGATAAAAGGTGTGGGAGAAAGCAGGAACAGGGGACTCTACAGCAGTGACAAGCCCAGCTTCATTCCTTCACAACCACCCAGCTCCTTCCAAAAAATGCAAATAAATCATCTGCTCCTTGGTCATCAGTCAGCTGCTTGTCAGAGAGGATGTTTTCTCTTGTGGGTTTAAGAAGAATGAGGAGGCATGGTTTGAAAATACAAATAAAGAATAAATAATTACTATGTAGATGAGGAGATTTTCTTTCAATTAGATTAGCCATATTCATACTGAATAGCAGAGCAGACTTGAGGGGCCAAATGGCCTACTCCTGCTCCTAATCCTTATGTTCTTCTTGTTCTGTAAACCAACCTCAGCCTCAGTTTCTTTCCTTCTAAGTTCATCTCCACTTCCCCCATTTTTCCACACACTCTCAAGGCAAGTTTCCTATACATGGCGGTAGGTTTGAGGCCAGTTACAGCACCCCATAATATCCAAGGACTCAAAACACAACACAATGTTCAAGCGGAGCAGGGCAAGAAGGTGGGAAATAATTCAACCTAGGTGGACACATGTAACTCAGCCTCCAATCTAAAGTCAGGCACATCAGACTTTTCACATAATGTTTTGACTTTTTATTATTCTTAGATAAACAGCAACAATTACAGCACTTTGGGAAAAGGAAGTAATTTGTTTTTGGGCAGTCTTGACTGAGTGTCTGGGAGGAATAAAACTAAGGCAATAACAAGATTACTGGAGAAACAAGGCATTGATGGCATAGTTTTACAGAGGTAGTTCAGTTGTAAATGTGAACACAGGAATTTAAAATGGGAAGCTGACATAAAAACTGACAAAAATGCAATGAAAGTTTTGTGGACAGAGGATTTTAAATACCATAGACTCTAAACAAAGCTCTCTTTTCTTGACATCCATAGACCCTAACTCCAAGCTGAGCACTATTTTAACTGAAGGAAGACTGCACTCTGGCTCATGGTCCTTCCTGCTCATATCTGACTGAGGTAGTCTGTTTAATGCTAAATCTGACTCACTGCATTTCCCCACACATCATATGTCCTTCTATCTCTACGGTGTAGCTACCTCGTACTCAGCTTAATGTAGTGAACGGGCCAGGCAAGAACCCATTGGGAGAGTCTTCGGTCTTGCTTTCGAGGGAGAATGGTGGAATACGAACATCAAGAAGACTCTGGTTGGCTCTCTCAAAGCGATAGGAACCCCTGTGAAATGCAGACACAAAGTCATCCTCTGGAAATGGCTCCAGGCTACTTACAGCTGATCAGCAACAGGGTGAAGGGAGAAAGGGGATTGACTGGGGTCTATTCCTAACTCCTTCCAGTAACATTGGCTTCCTAGACAGCCTCAGGTAATGAAAATTCTCTCTGTGAATTAAATATCTTCTGAATAACATACTTAGCATAGGAACATGGCAAATCAGAACATGGCAAATCATTTC